TTTATTGAGTTCATTCCTACTAGTTTTTTCTATAACTGTATATAGATATTTGTGAATCTTGTCTCTATCCTTTGTTTTCTACTTTCTTCCAGACTAAGTTCATTTGTCCTTAATATGCTTTTCTTTTTTTCTGGCTATTTATGTTTCTGTAGTAACCCCAGCATTTCTTTTCATGATATGGATAGCTCTGTGCAGATATTCTTTCTGATATAGTGTGAATGAATCCTCATACTCTTTCCACCTTATTTATGACCAGTCCTCCTCCCAAGCTACAGTTTGAGTATGGGGTTTTCTTTCCAAGCTTTTCTATAGTCTAGGACAGGGGTGGGCAAACTTTTTGACTCGAGGACCACAATGGGTTCTTAAACTGGACCGGAGGGCCGGAACAAAAGCATGGATGGAGTGTTTGTGTGAACTAATATAAATTCAAAGTAAACATCATTACATAAAAGGGTACGGTCTTTTTTTTCAATAGTTTTATTCATTTCAAACGGGCCAGATCTGGCCTGCGGGCTGTAGTTTGCCCACGGCTGGTCTAGGATATCGGGGAGTGAATGAGATCAATGAGGCTGAGTATAGCCCTCATTTAGGGGAACCTCTGCTTTCTCATTTGAGATCCGATTACCTAGCCTGGTGAACAACGTAGGTACTGGCATGCCCAGCTAAGTGGTGTCCAGTTCTGTTGGCCTTTGACTCTTTCACCCATCTAAGTGTAATTCCTTTAAAAGACAGTAAGCCTTAGCAGCTGGTTCTCTCTTTGGCAGAGTCCCACAGGGCTTCTACTCTCAAGGGTTTTTCCTCAGGTAACTTACTGGTTATTTCTAAGTGTTTATAAACTCTTAAGAGTTTCTGATTGAAAAATGAAACAAGGTTTTAAACCAAAACATTGAAAGATGATTTCGTTATCTCTTCTCCAGGCTTTGTAAACTCATGTCCTGTAACTTTTAATCTATAGGTTATATTTTCCTGTTTGTTACTTTGATGGGTTTTATTTGGATCCTTTCTAGCAAAGATTTTACTCAGAGTAGTTTTAAGACATAAATGTGAAGTTCTTAGGCCCTAGTACATAGCATATAGTGAGTACTCAATAAATGGGAGTTAATAAGACCGAGAATAGATAAGGAAGGTGAAAATAGTGCCATAATTTATTTAGATGTAGCTTAAGGTTTCAATCTAGTCACAAATCTTTGTATTTTTTTTTCTTTTCTGAGATAAAGCATAGTCTGCAGTAGCATTTGAAAGAGTCATGGGTTAGAGATACTAAAAATAAAATGTTACTAATAAAAAAGTAATTTATCTAGTGATAGCTACAACTTTTCCTAGAGCCTTTATTTCTTGACTCTTCAAATTGCTCCCTTTTAATTGACTATATTCTTTTTCTGTCCAGTGCTGTTACGCTGCCCTGTCACCTGCTCCATCTTAATAGGGCAAGATTGGACCCTGCTTGGGGCCATTTATATCTGATGTTTTATCTAGGCATAATTTTGAGGGCTCAATGTTATTCAAACTTAAAAATTCACTTCTTAACAGTACTTTGGCAAGCGTAGTTTTGGTCTGTAAGAGATCCTCAAAGATAGGACCTCCATCCTGCTTATCTTTGAATTTCCAGTGCCTGGCACATAGTAATTGAATGAATGAATGTGTTTGTCTTTTTCTTCCTCCCATTTCCTACTGGCCTGGCCAGTCAGTAAAACTTTTAGTGTTGTATTGTGGGAATGGAGAGTTTTATATTTATTTCTGAACTAAAAAGCAAAGTCAACTAAAAGAAAAAGAAAGCATCCGGGGTGTGGAACAAAAGAAAATTACTTTTACCAGTATGTACTTCTTGATTTATTGTTTTGTTCATCTTTGTTGTAATTAGCCTTTGATAGAAAGGTTTCTTTCTGTTCTTCTAGATCAGTGATTTTCAACCGGTGTGCCATGGCACACTGTGTGCTGCAAGAATTTTTAAAACATGCACCCTGGCTGGTGTGGCTCAGTTGGTTGGAACACTGTCCTTTACACCAAAACGTGGTGGGTTTGATTCCCAGTCAGGGCACATACATACCCAGATTTGGGATTTAAACCCCAACAGGAGACATTCAATCCATGTTTCTCTCTCTCTCTCTCTCTCAAGAATTTTTAAGGCATGTAATACCTGACTATTTAGTCAAGAGCACTGACCTGTTTTTCCTTAGATTGTCAAATAAAAAAAATGACAACAGCCAACAACAATAGTTGTATGGTGTGAATGAATCAAAATTATACCTATTTTTTTATAAGATTGGCAGAAATAATATTTTTTGGTGTGCAGCAGAATTTTAGTAATTAGTTTATGTGTGCCATGAGATGGAAAAGGTTGAAAATCTCTTTTCTAGATGGTTTCATTTTACTCTCCATATTTCTCTCTTTCAATTTTTTTGCTTATGAACTCGAGAGAATTGATGTATAGGCATCTGAAACTTATGTAATTATCTGGTAAGGGAATTATGACAGTTTAATAAATAAGAAATGTGTTATTTCTACAGAGAAAACTATGTATAGCCTTATTAGGTTTGTTTGAATTATAGTATACTAGAGGCCTGGTGCAACGGGTGGGGGCTCGCTGGTTTGCCCTGAATGGTGTCCCAGATCAGGGTGGGGGTCCCCACTGGGGCGCCTGGCCAGCCTGGATTAGTGGCTGAGTGCTGGTTTCAGGCTGCCCGCACCCCCTTCAGGGTGGGGGTCCCCACTGGGGCGCCTGGCCAGCCTGGATTAGTGGCTGAGTGCTGGTTTCAGGCTGCCCGCACCCCCTTCAGGGTGGGGGTCCCCACTGGGGCGCCTGGCCAGCCTGGATTAGTGGCTGAGTGCTGGTTTCAGGCTGCCCGCACCCCCTTCAGGGTGGGGGTCCCCACTGGGGCGCCTGGCCAGCCTGGATTAGTGGCTGAGTGCTGGTTTCAGGCTGCCCGCACCCCCTTCAGGGTGGGGGTCCCCACTGGGGCGCCTGGCCAGCCTGGATTAGGGGCTGCGGGCTGTTTTCAGGCAGGCCAAGCCTGCAACTGAAGCTCCCAGTCTCTCCTTTTTTAAAAAATTTTTTATTCTGGGATTTATTTACCTTCTGTAATTGAAACTTTGTTGCGGCTCCAGCTCCGAGGCCAGCCAGCTGAAAGCAGGTATCTGGGGTTTGTTTAGCTTCTATAATTGAAACATTGTTGCTTAGAGTGCAGCTTAGAGCGGGGCTGTGGCAGGCGGGGAACCTTGGCTTCCTCCATCGCCGGGGCAACCAAGCCTCATGTTTGCTTCAGCTGCGTGGCTGCTGGCCGCCATCTTGTTTGGCAGGTAATTTGCATATCACCCTGATTAGCCAATGGGAAGTGAAGCAGAGGTCTGGTTAATTACCATGTTTGTCAATTATTAGATAGGATACCAGGAAAGGAGTAGTTTAACTATCTTTATACCCAACATATTCCTATATAATAAAAGCCTAATATGCAAATCGACCAAACAGCGGAATGACCGGTCACTATGACATGCACTGACCACCAGGGGGAAGATGCTCAACGCAGGAGCTTCCCCCAGGCCAGCAAAGGCAGGTGCCAGCAGAGGCTCCCCCGATA